CCTCTGAATTTGCAATCAGTTGGAACATGAAGATAGTAAAGACATCTGAAATGGAATTTATAGTTGGATTGAAATATTTTAGCTGGATGTGGTGGTGCATCCCATGTGAAAAAAGAAAAACTACATATTTTGATTTTGAGAAAAGGCACTTGAACTTCACTGTATTTGCTAAGTTTTAATTACTGTCCAGAAAACTGGAAGTTTTAAGTTAKATTTGATACCTTTGTTATTTGTGGACTGCCGTACTACATACAAAAAAGGTTTCTGGACCGTGTTAGGACACTATAGAATCTGAGTTTATCATGAATTATTTTGAAAACATAGGTTTAAAGAAAAGTAGAATCTTTAATTCCTGGAAACTGATTAAGGTGATCAAATATCTCAATTTGCTTAGGACCCTGTGATTTCCTGATGTACCATAAGTCCTGAGCAAACTAGGGTGAGTTGGTCGCCTAAATGGATGAACTTTTAGGAATTTTGAAACTTTGAAATTCTATTTCTTTCAAATCTACAATTTAAAGAAAATGGTCTTATAATCCAGTGTGCTATGTTTCTCAACAGTATATCCATAAACAAAAAGTAAGGTACTTGTCACCTACTTTTAAAACTTTTATAATAATTTTAAATGATTAAAATTTATAGTTCTAAAGTAATAGGATTATTAGGTAATAAATAATAAGTGGGATTAGGTTAACCTGTTGGTCTAAATCTTTTTCTGGCATTCATAATTGTTATAAAGATTTCCAGATTAACATAGTACCTCGATGAAATTTGTAATGGCTTCTAAATTTCATTGATAAGTGAATATCTAGCCACAAAATTATCCTGAAAAATTATCAAAAATATAACAGCTTAATTATTAAAATACATCATGTTACAAAGTTAAATCAGATTGTTAAAAAATAAGGACCTAATTTTTTTAAGTAAACTAGATTATTCTTTGGAGAAAGGAACACACATTGTTAAAAGACAAATAACTGTTAGGTGTCAATATTAAATAATATTAAAACGGACACATTGATCAGTGTGTTCAGTGATCTCAAGCTTCTGAGGAGTAAGACACTTTGGGAATATAATGAAAACAATCTAAATTCCCCACCAAGCAACATGTACACGAATTTTTTTATTTAGAATTTCAAGTAGTTCATACTCTCTGTTTAAGAACTTCAACTTAAGAAGATGGATTTTTTTTCCACGTACTGAAAACTTTTTTTAAAACTTTTAGTTGTAAATGGACACAACACCTTTATTTTGTTCTTTTGCTTTTATGTGGTGCTGAGGGAGTGAACCCAGTGTCTCACACATCCTAGGCCAGTACTCTATCCCTGAGCTACAACCCCAGCCCCAAACTATATAATTGTTTTATTTTTGCTTTAATATATTGGGAAAAATAGACCTGTTCAAATTCACTGCTTTCCAGTGGACATAACTGTTAACATATATGATACTATGCACGTGTCTCAACTCAAATGTCTCATAAAGAATGGAGACTTGCAAACAAAACAGTTYCCATAATTGGGTTGCCTGAGCATGCCTTTAAGCCACCTGCCACTTTTACTTCCTTGTAAACTGAGAAGAGGCTCTAGCACTGTGGATTCCATCTGCTCTTCAGTTAGTTGCTCTGCCCTACCTGCTACTGGAATAGCAGGAGAAGGAAATCTTCACTCTCTGAGAGCCCACCATGAAAAGGCAAAAAGAGGTTCTAATCTTATCCCACTCCATCGCCATCATTTTGGTACTGGTTATTGAATCCAGGGGTGCTCCGCCACTGAGCTACATCCGCAGCCCTTTTAATTTTTTGAGACAAGGTCTCAATTGTCCAGGCTGCCCTTAAACTTTTTATCCTCCTGCCTCAGCTTCCCTAGTAGCTAGGAATACAGATGGGTACCCAGCTCATGGCCACCCTTTTAAACTCAATTTGGCCAATATTCACTTCTAGAATTCTACCATTTACGTCCCTGGCATCTATGAAAAATGTTCTTAATTGTAAAATCTTAGTTTGGTCTTTTTTTCATAGGCAGAAACTCACCAATAGCATTTTAAAAGTAAGCGATTGAACAGTTGTTGATGCTCAGAACAGTGTAGATATRATGATTATGAATCCAGTGCCTATACTACAAGAAATTTAAAGTCTAGTAGAAAAACTAAATATGTGCATTTATCTTTATGAAGCCATAAGATGTATAACAGAAATAGGGAATCATCTCTGCTTTTGTTTTTAAATTAGTCTCAAATGCATTCACATTGTGGGCCCATGAGTGTAATACAGTGGTAGAGTCCATACCTTACACACGCAAGGCTCTGGTTCAATACCCAGCACTTATTTGGACTCTGCCACTGTGCTACACCAGCTATTCAATGCACAGTTTATATCCAATACACAGTTACTATATATATAAAATATGTATAATATATATTATTATATATAAACTGTGTATTGGATAGCTGGTCCTGGTGGAGGTGTCCAAGTCTTAATCCCCAGAACCTCTGTGATTACATACTTTGCATGGCAAATGTGATTTAGATTAAGACCTTTGAGTTGGGGAAATTATTCTGGCTTTTTCAGGTGACCCTCAATATAAACACACGAGTCCTTACAAGTGGAAAAGGGGAGGGACTTGATCCACTGTTGATAGCTTTAGAGAAAGGAGCCCATGAGCCAAGAAATGCAGTCAGCTCTTGAAGCCAGGACCCTCCTACCCTCCTCTGACAAATGTCAGGGAAATGGATCTTTACCCTCCAATCCTGAGGAACTGAATTCTGCCAATTCACCTGAACAAGAAGACATGCCCAAGAGTATCAAGTAAGTAATGCAAACCCAAACTCAKTGACAGACACCTTGCATTAGTTCAGTGATTCCCATGCATGTCAGACTTTGAACCTGCAGAACTGATACTTTGTGTTGAGCCATTAAGTTTGTGGTAATTTATGACAGCATCACTGTGTGTGTGTGTGTGTGAAATAAAGTTTCTCATTATAGGGTTATAGGGGAAAGAGGTGGGAGGATGAAGAATTATTAATCTTAAAAATGCTTTGTGCATCCCTTAGGGATGTAAGAATAAGAAAAAACAGCATCATGTAGTCTGAGGTTGGCTTGGGAAAAAAGAAACCAACAGTAGCAATAGAATGGAGGTGGATGATCAATGAGCAAGAAGTTTGATAGCAGAAGCCTAYTGCTGCTTCTGCTCACTCTCAAAGATCTTTGCCCCTATCTTTTCTTCTGAGACCAAAAACCGAGGAAGATAGAAGAGGGTTGGAAAGAAAAGTCCTTACTCTTATTACTCATCAAATTCTTAGAGAGATTGATTTTGTTAAGGATCCCATGAGTAACCCCTGGAATTATAACAAACTCATATAAGACCATGTGTAAACAAAGACCTTGTATAAACAACACTTATAGAAATGCCTCCAGATGTTCTTTAGGGAGGTGGGTACACTAAAGAACAACTAGGCCTTTAAAAACTCTCAGCTGGGTGCATTGCCCCACACCAGTAGTCCTAGCTACTTGGGAGGCTGAAGCAGGAGGAYCACAAGTTCAAGGTTAGCTTCAGCAACTTAGACTCTGTCTCAGAAAAAAACAAAAAACTGGGAATGTAGGGCATGTAGTTCAGTGAAGAAGCACCCCAGGTTTAAACCCCAGTATCATAGTTGCTGTAAAAGTCAAAGGTTTAAATATTTGTGCCTGATTGCTCTTTTTAGTATCCTTAAGTCAATATAATTGTTTTGTGATAAAGACCATTTGTTGTTTCTTAAACCCCTATTATGTAATTTTTTCATTTGTTCTTTTTTTCTATTGAGATAATCATGTGATTCTTGTCTTTAAATCTATTGATGTTCAACCCCCTATTTTAAAGGACAAGTGGTTATCTCACAAAGATTTTATGGTCTAGTCTCATTTACAGCTAAGTCTAGCCATTCGATTAGGTTCTAGCTAGAGGATTGAAAGTTGAAATGTGTGCACTTTAGTAGAAAGGTCCTCTCTCTTCTTGGTTGGAATTTGGACGTCGAGGTTTGAGCAACAATCTTTGTTTTGGAATGTGGGGTGATTTTTAACAGAAGCCATACAGTACTAAAACAAGATGGAAGCTTGGACTTGTGACAATATTAAACACCTGTGTATCAGACCTGCACTGAGTACCTCTGCATTTTTTTTTAAACATGGAACATTTCACAAATGTGCTTGTTATGTGTATGCAGGGAGGCATGATAAATCATCTCTATATCATTCCAATTTTACTTTGTTCCACCAAAGCAAGTACATGCTTTTTTTTTTTTTAAGTTGTAAATGGACACAATACCTTTATTTTTATGTGGTGCTGAGTGAGGCTTCAACCAAGTGCCTCACACTTGGGAGGCAAGTGCTCTGCCGGTGAGCCACACCTCCAGCCCATGCACATGCATTTTTTAAACATGAGGGAGGGACAAACATGTTTCTATATTGTTCACTTCTCTCATTTTGGATTTCCTTAACTTGAACCTAATATTATTTCAATATAGTGCCACATTATTGTAAAGATCACTGGGAATTTACTATAAAATTAATTTTATCTACTCTGCCTAGAACACTGAATACTGTTTATTGGACTAGGCACTAAAAAATACTATTTAAAGCCATATTTGTTTCTGAGTTAAATGGTGATTATACCTCATAMACTAAAAACTACTAATTTATACACATTTTTTATTATTATTTTTGTTTATATGGCGCTGGGGATTGAACTCAGGGCCTTGTGCATTCGAGGCAAGAATTCTACCARGTGAGCTATCTATATATCTCCAGTCCCTGATTTATACACTTTAAAGAATGAATTTTATGGTATTTGAATCATATCAATAAAGCTTTTTAAAATGTTAAAATGAATCATTCAATGAAAGCATTTAAATGTTTTAATTTTTTAATTAAATCATCTTTGAATTTAATTGAAGTACCATTTCTGTGGGACATGAGAATTATTAAACAAATTCTTAAAATATAAAACTTTAATATTTATCCAGATGCTTTAACTGGTGACTATTCTGATATCCCCCTTTAAATTTGCTTCTATCTTATTATTATTCATTTCCAGATTCAGGTTTTGCATCACTTTGGAGAGCATTTTATCATCTTTTTTATCTCCTGAAGCAGCTCCTTTGTTGAGAGTTTGTTCTGCTACAATGAAAAACTGTTCAGTTGGTTGAAGAATGCTTACTCCATAGCCATTGTTGTTGTATATGTGATTATTAGTCATCTTCAATTTGGGCGCTGGCAGAACCTGTTAAATTAATTAGTTATTAAATRATTTTAATACAAAGAACATATAAACAAGTTAACCTTATATGTTAACAAGTTACTTTACAATAACAAGTTTTGAACAAGCATGTTTTACTCATGTTGATTAATGTAAAAATAYTAAATGAAGTTGTCAGTTTATTTTTATCAGCTTTAGATAAAAATCACTGATTGTAATTGGGAATACAGCAATGGCCCATAAAAGTGACCTCTAGGGCTGGAGTTGTGGCTCAGTGGTAGAGCATTTGCCTAGCATGTGTGAGGCACTGGGTTCAATTCTCAGCACCACATATAAGTAAATGAATAAAATAAAGGTCCATCAACGTCAAAAAAATTTTTAAGTGACCCTCTAACAGGTAAAGCATGAAAACAATTTAATATATATTATGAAACAAAATAGAGTAGTATAATATAGCATGACTTGGTGGGAGTGTGGGGAGGGTTCACTATTTAACTGGTATTCTTTATAGTAATGGATTCTTTGAAAAGGAACAATTATGTTCAGATATAAATAATAAAGTTGTCAGACATTATTTACAGACCTATAGGAAGAATGTTTCCTATAGGTCTGTAAATAATGGCCAGAACAAGCTTCACAATATCTAGGAGCAAAAAAGAGCCAGTGTAGCTTGAATATAATACATCAGAGGAGGAGTGGACAGAGAAGGCTGGAGAAGGCCAGGGACAGTCTTGTCAGAGTTTATAAACATTTATAAAAGTTTCAGAGCWGGGGTTGTGGCTCAGTGGTAGAGTGCTCGCCTAGAATGCATGAGGCACTGGGTTCAATCCTCAGCATCACATAAATATAAAGATATTGTGTCAACCTAAAACTAAAAAAATAAAATAAATATTTTTTAAAAGTTTATTAAACATCAGTGTATATATTTAAATCCTCTGCGGATCTTGTTAAACATTGGGATCAGTCTGGGGTRCGACAATATTCTGCAGGGTTTTTTTGGTTTTGTTTATTGTACTGGAGATTGAACCCAGGGGTGCTCTACTGCTGAGCTACATCCCCACTCCTTTTTATTTTTTGAGACAGGGTCTTGCTAAGTTTCCCAGGCTGGGCTTACACTTGTGATCCTCCTCAGCCTCCTGAGAAGCTGGGATGCCAGGCATGAACCACCACACCTGGCTCACTATTCTGCAGTTCTAACAAGCTACCAAGTAATGCCAGTGGCTCCCACTTTTGAGTAGCAGGGGGATATATATGGTTCTTAAATTGTGTGTGGACCAGCTGTATTAGCATCACCTGGGAACTTACTAGCACAAACCCTGAGGCTTCACCCCAGAGTTAATCAGAAACTGGGGTGTACTAACATTTAAGAACCATTGAAAATTTGAAAAATACTTAAGAACAGAAAAAATGTTTTAAGATAAATCAGATTTCAAAATTGCTCTAATGGTGTCCAATGATCATTTGTACCTTCTTTTTCTATTCTTTCTTTCCTTCTTTTTTTCTCTGTGGTGCTGGGGATCACCTGTAGGGTTTCTCACATGCTAGATGAGCATTCTGCCACTGARGGACATCCCCAGCCCCTATACTTTATTTTCAACCAATTAACTGTCTTAGGGTTCAAAATCAAGTTGAGGGTGAGGGCAGTAGGGCAGGGAGGTCTACTAGTAAGGGTTGAGCATCTTTAATCTAAAAATCCAAAATCTGAAGTGTTCTAAAATCCAAGACTTTCTGAGTGTTGAAATGATACCAGTGAATCTCCACACCATGAAACTTTCATGCACAAAATTATTTAAAATAATGTAAAGAATTACCTTTTGGCTGTGCATACAAAGTGTGTGTGTGTGAAACAAATGAATCTTGTGTTTATATTTGGGTTCTATATCCAATATATAGTATTCATAAATATTTTTAAATTTTAAAAAATCAGAACTCTGAAACACTTGWGGTCCCAATCGTTTMAGATAAGGGATACACAACCTGTGCCTGCCTTTATGTAATTTAAAATCTATTTGAGGAAAGAAAACATGCATTCACAAAATAGAATTATAGCGATTTAGGCAAATTTTCATCAACATAAAACATTGTTAACTACCTAAATCTAGAGAGTCCTAAAAAGATGTTTCCCAGAAAAGAGTGGGAAGGCATTTTGCCTATAAATTATTGCTATTAATATATTCATTGTTTTGCTTTACACATTTTGAAAGACTTAAAATGTTTAATATATTATTTTCTTAATTTGTTTTACTTTCCAAAATGTGTYATAGATATGCTCAATGAAAAAAATCTCAATATTTTCATAAGAGAAAAGCAYATCTACCTGCTCATATTCCAGCTTATTTTCTAAGATTTTAAGTTGAAATTATTAAACTAGAGGGCTAAATGTATTTCCCTTCAGCCTCATTAAAACATATTTTATTACTTGTACTATTCTTTTAAGACTAAAAYTAATATTTTATTACTTTTCTAATACTTAAAATTCCCATGACAATTCTACATTAAGAGTTAAGACAAGGGCTGGGGATGTGGCTCAAGCGGTAGCGTGCTTGCCCGGCATGCATGCGGCCCGGGTTCGATCCTCAGCACCACATACAAATAAAGATGTTGTGTCCGCCAAAAACTAATAAATAAATAAATATTTTAAAAAAAGAGTTAAGACAATACCTTCATATTAACTCCACCTAATGTGCTTTTTGAACTGTCACTAGTTCTGAGGTTATTACAGTGATGAATTTCATTCCTTTCCAGAATGGCTATGCTCCCAGGATACAGTTCAACACCAGCACCCTATAAATTATAATCAAATAAAACAATCATGCACACATAGACAAGGCCCTCTATGAAATTTTCTTTAGACTTGAATATTGTAATTTATTTTCTAGTGCTGGGGATCAAAACCAAGGCCTTGCACATGCTAGGCGAGTGCTCTGCCACTGAGCAACACCCCCAGCTTGAAATTTTTAATTCTGCATTAGCAATCTAAACACAAGCTACATAACAACTCATGATAATGCAGACAGCAATTTCTTGTGGAGATATTTTTTTCTGTGTGGTACTGGGGATTAAATGCCAAGGCTGACTTGAACATGCCATCCTCCTACCTCAGCCTCCCCAGAAGCTGGGATTACAGATAGGCATATGCCATCACAAGTAAGAGAATGCTTTAAAAATATTGAAAAGTAAATATWTGTGTTGGGGAACAGGTCTAGAAAGAAGGTTGAGTAATATAGTCCATTACCTTACTCTTCTACTCAAATGAATTCTGTAAAAAACAGGCCAAAACCTCGTTAAGCAATTGTCTTACTAGTTACAAAAAATTTATTGCTACTATACATCCTTAATAATGCACTATAGTATATTCCTCATTTTAGTGGAAATTAACAAAAAGTCATCCTAAAAAAAATTGCTTGTGTTTTCTGTTTCTTTTCATCATTTTTCTCAGTTCTCCTATGYTTTAATAAACTTTGTGATTTTTATCTCAATATTAAAAGTTTTCTATGTTCCAGTTATTTGTAAATGGTCAGAACTAGTCTGAACACCTTAAAAACAATTTCTTCTAGCTTGTAAGCACTTACTTCTTTTTAAATAAAATATCAAATAATTGACCCATGATCTGTTTCATAAGTGCTGATTTCTAATTTTAAAAAAATAATTCTCAAATCACAGTTTGACTCTTTACCTTGGACACTTGGGCAATTCACTTTTATGAAGTATGCAGTTGCTCACTTTTGTTAATTTCTACCAGTCTATAAATTGAGTTATTGTTCCATTCAAAAGGAAAGATAAAGAAATTGTTATCCTTTGTATGTTAAGATCACCCAAAGTTGTTAGCTGTTGTCCTCTAAAGCCATACTTTCTATAGAGTGGAGTACCTGGGCACCAGTTATTTCACTGTCTGTGATTGTCAGAGCGGCCCCCGTCAGAACGCACACTCCTGTTCCTTCACATTTTAATACACAGTTTTCTAGAGTCATGTGACCAGACTCCACCACCACAATACCATCAACCGTCCCTTGTTGTATCAAAGACAGATGCATTAGTTTCACATTGTCAGCTTTGGACACCACAAAACTGTCATGAGAAGGTTCAGAAGTAATCATAATTTCTTCTCGCTTTCCAACTCCTGATACATGGGGACAAAAATATAATTAAATCAGTAATCTAAAACTTTAAAGACCTTTAGTCATTCAGTAATACTTGTTATTCCTTTCATGTATTTTAACAAGATAGACTACTCAGTTGTTAACTAAGTAGATATTTAACTAGAATATAATCTTTTTTTTCCCTGATTTTGATGCTGTGATGGGAAAATCTGGGCTTATAATCAATTTAAATGTACCTGTAATATTTATTCAACATACTAATTCCACAAATAGCTCTCTAAATTTTATAATCAGCAATCATGTACAAATGTCTAGAATATAAAATATATGTTTATAGACATTATATATTTTTATATAAATAAATAAGTAAATATATATATATATATATATATATATATATGTACACCTTAACTTTGGTTTCAAATAGTAATTAATTACCATCATATAAGACTGACTCTTAAATTAGCTTAGACTAATATAATCATACCAATAATTGTGCTCTAGAATAGTTAAAACAATTATCTCAATTTAATATCAAGAAGACTACAGATGTCTTAAATTACATTCATGATCCTTACTACCCACATAGTTAGCTAACACTACTGATGACAATCATGGAAATATAGTGAAAATTTTGCTTCATTTTTTTAAATGAAAGGAGGAGTTTAAGTCAACTTTCTTTTCTTTTGGCCGGACAATGGGAACACCTTACTTCAAAATTAAAAGGGCAGCCAGGCCTCATGGCTCACACCTGTAATCCAGCAGTTTGGGCAGCAGAGGCAGGAGGATTGCAAGTTCAAAACCAGCCTCAGCCACTCAATGAGACCCTAAGCAATTTAGCAAGACCCTGTCTCAAAATAAAAAATAAAATGRGTTGGGGATATTGATTAGTGGYTAAGCACCCCTAGGTTCAATATCCTCGGCATCAAAAAATTAAATAAAAGGGCCGAACTAAAGTTACTGAACATGTTGAGAACATAAAAGAAATTTAGTAAATCCTGTTTTTTCTGTTTGTTTTTCCTCACGTGAATTGCCTTTTTGAGAAAATGCTAAGTATATTTTAGAATAACCTTCCGTTTAGGTTTTCTTCACATCACTAAGAGATGTGCAGTGGAGATGGATAAGAAAAAGATAGTTTTTGGTATAAAAAGACKTACACACACACAGGAAATGTGATGGACGTTCAGGTGCAGTGGTGCATACCTGTGGTCACAGTTGTTTGGGAGGCTGAGGTGGGAGAATTACCTCAGCTCAAGAGTTCAAGACTAACCCGGGCAACACAGTGAGACCTTCTCTCAGAGACAAAGAGAGATGGAAAGGTGGGGAAGAAAGCCAGGTGTGGTGGTACGCACCTGTATGTAATCCCATCGGCTTGGGAGGTTGAGCTAAGAGGATTGCCAAGTTCAAAGCTAGCCTTAGCAACTTGGTGAGGCCCTGAGCAATTTAGTGAGACTCTGTCTCAAAAATTTAAAAAATAGGGCTGGGGCTATAACCCAGTAGCAGAGCACTTGCCTCGTATGTGTGAGGCACTGGGTTGGATCCTCCGCATCACAAAAAAATAAATAAAATAAAGGCATGCTG